ACAGGAAGAGCAATGGATATTATGTGAGAATCTGCTTTTGGATAGGGGATCAGTGAAAATTACACAAAACTAGCTGTGGTTAGTCTAGCTCCAACTGTAGACTGGCATTTACAGTGAGCTGTACACTACAACACTAGGAGTTCTTCATTGGATATTCACAGCCACATCAGACTATCAGAGTATACATGGAGTTAGATGTATTTATTTATGTGCTGCAGTGTGCATTTTACACTTACTTTCGACATCATCTGCCATTTTGGGTCTGCTCAACCACTTTAGAAACATCTTTTGGGAGTTTTTACAGTTTGCTTGAGTTTTTACAGTCTGCTTGGGATTTCTCCACCATGAATTCTTTGATATCTTCCAAAAAGTTTCCTGTTTCATGCCTGACATCCGACTGTTTTAAAACAAGTTAGTGTTTGACTGTTTTCTCTTTGCGCCCCTTAATGTCACTCTCTTATCCTTATGTTTTCCTGTTTTCATATTCCCATACCCACAGGTTTCTTTGCATTCTCACAATTATTACCCCTATTTCCTTCTCTCTCTCTCTCTCTCTCGTTCTACCATGCACCTCTGAATATAGGGAGAGAAAGAACAACAGAGAAGAAAAAGTGCCTGTAAAGGTGTTTGAAATTCTACTGGGACTTTGGGCTGCAAAGAGAGAGAAGACCACATAAGCTCACATAAAGCTGCCTTATACCGAATCAGACCATTGGTGCATCAAGGTCAGTACTATCTACTCAGACTACCTGAGGCCCTACAGAGCTGTTGCCAGTCTGAGCAGACAGTACTGACCTTGATGCACCAATGGTCTGATTCATTATGTCTGTGGCCTGCTCTGAACCTCTCTCTGAGGTCTTTCATATCACCTCCTGCCTGGCCGCTCCCTGCCCACCCCTTGAATGAAACATGACACGAGTTATGGGTTAAACTGGGACTTTATTTATTTATTTTATTATTTATTTATTACTTTAGATTTGTATGCCGCTTAGCCGGAGCAAACTGCCTAGCCAGAGCAAATTTACATATAAGCTGATCTGCACTGCTCAGTTAATGTGTTAAAGCACAGGTTGTATCGCGCTTGCAATGCAAGCTTCCTAACAGGGAACAACCACCCCGGCTCAGAGCCAGGTCCAGAATCCTTCCGAATCTTTTTGGTGTAGTGGTTAAGAACGGTGGACTCTAATCTGGAGAACCAGGATTGATTCCCCACTTCTCCACATGCAGCCAGTTCTCTCAAGAGCAGTTCTCTCAAAGCTCTCTCAGCCCCACTGTTAGCCAAATTGCCTTGATTTATTAATAAATGTGGTGAATATGAATATTAAATGGCAATAGGCATTAAATATAGGATCAGACTTGTGTATATGGGAGTCCAACTTTAGATAGATGCTGAGACTAGATCTTAAGAAGCAGTGATTTCTTTCACTAAAAGGATTCTCAAACACACAATATAAAATCAAACATACACACACACACTACAGATCTAGTAATTCGGATAGAAAGGTACAGAGACGTTTGCATTAGCAGGTAATATCGTTGATAGGCAATACTTTACCTGTCCAATGTGGCGAGTTGAATCTGCAGCAAAAAAGAAAATAACTAGGGGAGGGGAATCATGAGTTGCCAACAACACATGTGGGAAGGCTCCAAACTGCGCAAGGAATAGAACCAGCAAGATAAGGTGGGGTTTAGGAGGGGAGAAGAGAGAGAGAGAGAGAGAGAGAGATCTTTTATACCCTAAAATGACTGGGAGCTGATGTTCCTTTAGTCATGTAGTCCTCATGAAGCATAACTACTGTTGATGTCCCAATTCCATTACCGATAGTTGCTATTAAATCCGATGGTAAACAGCTGTGTTAGCTGGAAGAGTGACTACTCCCTACTCCTATAATGGAAGGAGTTATTTTGTTGAGGCTGAAGTCATCTACGTGCTTCACCTGGAGATGTCAATATGCGGGGGGGGGGGAGGTATCAGCATGATGGAGAAGAGAGCTTTCTATGGCATCTGGGAAGGAATGTCCAGGTTCCCTTTGCAGAGCATGGCTTCTCTTCAGTGAATGGCTGCTGGTCCTGTGTGTTTGCAGGGTCAGGGAGGCTAGCTTTTCGTTGTGGTCCCGAGACCTCGGCACATGTACGTTTACAACCCCTAGTCTCCATCGCTTGTCCCGGTCGGCGTCTCTATTTCCATTCGGACGCCCAATGGCTGGACCGTCGGGGCAGAGGAGCGCCTCAATTCTCCAGCATCGCGCTGGTGAAGAGGCCACCCCTCAAAAGCTCCATGGCTAGGAGCCTTTCACCAAGGCTCCGGGGCTGGGTGTGAACAATTGTCCTCCCTCCAAACCGCCAGCACGCGGATCGCCTCCCTGGGAGGTCCAGGGAATGCGTCCACTAGCAGGTTGCCATTAAACTGAAAGTCCATAAATATTGATTTATTTAATAAAGAACAAAATAGGTTTCTAGTTATTTTGAACTGTTACTGGGGGGAAAAGAACTTGTAAATATACCTGGCAAAACTGTTTGTCTTATTCACACAGAATAAACCATTTGTCTAACCACACAGGAGAGACACAGCTTGTTTCTTTGGCCATATAGACTCTCTCACAGAACTCTTAGTCACACAGACTCTCTTCAAATTCTTCCACATGTCTCTCTCTCTCCAAAAACAGAACTTCCTCATAGACACACACACAGATTCCTCTCAGACACCCCTCCTCCTACACACTCGGTCATCAGCCAATCACAGCAAACTCATCTCCCCCTATCGCTCTCCATACATTACTGCAGTCAAACTCAACATTTAAAGACATGCACACCAAAACATGGAATCATTACAGTCACCATTTACTCCATTTTCCTGGCACACTATTTGCACAGTCCACCTTTACAGTCATAGTCCATAACCTTTATAGATGCTGTATAAGGCGGCAGCATGGCAACACCACCTACCTCACAGGGTGCTCCGTTGTGGGGAGAGGAAGGGAAGGAGATTGTAAGCTACTCTGAGTGAAGGGCGGGGTATAAATCCAACTCTTCTTTCTCATGGCCTGCATGCGAGTGTGTAGAGGGGATGGAGGGGCACAGTCCCACCCATGACTGCTAAGCCTTAAGACTTATTGTATGTCCCCCCAACCCCAAAGAGGTCGTCCACTGAGTCATCGAGACTGCTGAGCCGATAGGCACCCAGTTTGAGGATTCCCCCATCACTGATATCTCCGGGTGCTTGCCAACTGTAAATCCCCTCAACCCATGCTCTTCCCGTTTTCCCAGTTAGGATCTATATCTCACCCCTTCTGACCCTGCAGGGCCGGACTGACTACAGAGGTGGCTGCTGTCTGACCTGACTGGCAAGCCAGCCTCCCATTGGCTGGCATTCCCGCACCAGGCCTCAGTTGGGTCCCCTCACTGTCATGATCACTGTGAGAAGATGTGGGCGGTCAAGTGCCAGCGCCAGTCTTTTAACCAGAGATGTTGGGGATTGAACCTGGGGCCTTCTGCATGCAAAGCAGGGGCTCTTGCACTAAGTCCCAGCCCTTCCCCAATAGTGAGTCATACCAGTGGTCTGTCAAATCAATATTGTCTATCCTGACTGGCAGCAACTGTCCAGAGTCTCAGGTCTTTTGGACCAGCTGATAGCTGTTCCTTTTAATTGAAACTGCCAGGGATCGAACCTCTAGGGCCTTTTGCATGCAAAGCAGTCTACCGCTGAGCCAGGGCTGCCTCATGTGAAGTAGGCTTGGTATACAACCAGAGAAACAGCTTCTGCCTTACTACCACCAGAACACCAGCCCTGATCAAATGATGGTTATGGTATATTTATGGAATTCATCAACAGAATATAGGAAGAAGTCCCCTGCCCGAAGGAACATGCAATTTAAAATCAAAGAGACAACAAAGGGAGAAAGAACAGTACAAATTAACCTTCTAGAGTTTTGGATTTTTCTACTACCACAAATAGACATCCTATAACTCGGTCAAATTTTGATTTTCTTGTGTGTCCTAGAGATGGCTAGAGTTTATGTATCTACCATATATCCATCTCATATGAACAAGAAACAGCTATTTATTTATTTATTTTTTCAGTTTGGAAAAATGTATTTCCACCATTTAAACAACCTACAAGGAAAATAGCTTACTGCTATTTTTAACGAACAAGCTATTGTTCTTGTCTTTTAACCTTGCGTGAATTTATAAGCACTGTTTAAGTACAAAAATATGTAAAATAAATTCTTTCTCCCTCGTTTTGCATTTTCTTCATGTACTCTTACTGAGAGCTCTCAGTCTGCTACCCTTCAAAAGGTCCTCATCAGTCACAAATGAGAATGCAATGGTCTGTGACTCAGCAATGTTCCTTGAATTCCAATTCTCCCGTGCCTCTGTGTTGAGAACAAGCGGCTTCCTTCGTGCTCCTCAGTAATGACAATGGGCCCAGACAGTCAACCACCTATATATAAACAGAATTATTAGCCATGGACGGCATCACAACTTTTTACAGGGTTTATACAGCTATTTGCTTTTGATAATGTGAATGCTCCTGGTTTCCTGGGTACCAGAGTCTGAGATTGTTCATCTGATTCTAGTCACAGAAGTAAAATGCTTTGAAAAGAAAGGGCTTTCCTGAAAAGATTAGAAAAATCAGTCTGAAGCTGCCTAAATGAATAAAGAGGTGACCCTATGGGCTGCTTTCACACAGTTTTGCTCCCTTGTGGAATCTAAAGCAAAGTAGTGGGTTTTTAGAGTATCCACACAATGTTTTCCCCAGTCGTCCTCTTTTTGTGTTTTCCTTCACTATTATATGGTCTTTCCCAAATCTGGTATGGCACAATCTTTTTTGAAAGATGTGCACATAGGAAGGTGTGCATTTTTGCACATCTCACTCACATAAGCACCATTTTCCTTGCCTGAGCCCTGCTAGATCATTATGACATCTGAAGCCTCCATTTACTAGCTCTTCTGAATTCTCACCTTTCATTTTCTTAAAAACTTTCTAGATTTCATTGTCTTTCTCTCCTTATATCTTTGTAAAAGGGGGGGGGCTAGGGCAGAGCCGCCCAAACCTTTTCAAGCCTATGGGTACCTTTGGAATACTGACACAGGGAAACTCATGAGCATAATAGGCCACACCCGACAGCATAAACTCATTAGCATATTAGGCCACACCCCTTACAGCACAGCTCATTAGCACATTAGGCCACACCCCCATGTTACCAGAAGTGTGGTTATCCAGCCACACCCACCTTTTGCTTGGTATTCTGTTTACCTTGTTTGTTGTCAAAACCCAGGGCTTTTTTGGAGCAGGAACTCCTTTGCATGTTAGGCCACACACCCCTAATGTTCCTGCTGTTGGGTGTGGCCTATTATGCTAATGAGTTTCTGCTGGGCGTGGCCAACATGGGAGCCAGCCGGAACTCCGTTCCTGTGCGTTCCTGCCCAAAAATAGCCCTGGGGATGGGTAAAACTACAAAATGGCAGTGGTATAAATAAGCCTGCACATTGCCTCTAGTATCAGGATTTGAGAAAAGAGCAAAACTATCTTACTATAAACTGACAATTATTCCATAGTTTGGCTGTAGTGAGTAGACCGAGGCTGACCATACGCAGAATATCCTTTTAGATCTTTTCTGTGAGCATCTCCTGTAGAATCAGAATGTTCTTTACTTCTGCCAGCACCACTACTCATCTCTGTAGCAATGATCCTTCTGCAGCCATGGTTGGATTGGGCCCAGTAAAGCCCTCACACTTTTCATAATATTTTAATGTAATGAGATCATTTTCTTAATAGAGTTGGACAAATTATCAGCATCAATGCAAAAGTAAACCGGGCCTTCACTACCAGTATGGAGGTAAGAGACCATATATTTGCTTCTTTTTTTTTTTTAACTCTCCTAAAAAGGAGAGAGTTTATTGCTTTTAATATCAGAAAGGGGGAGGGTATATAGCGGGACTAAGAAAAGGTTGAGTGATGCTCTTATTAGTATGTTAATCTTTTGTTAGTATTAAACAAATCTTCTTTTGGCTTCTTCTGCGAGTTGTCAATCGTCTTTCATCTTGACCTGTGAAAAACAAATATAAGTGTTAATGTATTAGTAGTGTCCCTTTGGTTTATTGTTAGTAAAGTCTTTTCATGTGCTTTCTGAACCAATCTTCATGTTCTGGGCTGCCTTCCTTTTATGTCTGTCAGGTTGTAAGATGGACCTTTCCCAGCCCCTTCATCTTCCAGAGTCTTGTCCCCCCTTTCCGAGCCGCTGTCTCCTTCACTGTCCATTTTTTCCCATCTGGCAAGTGCTGCCTCCTCTGAGCTGGCGTGTCTCTTCAAAAAGTCTTGAGCTTTGAAAATGGAGTCAATCTTCGCTCTTTTATCTTTAAGTCCTTCTGGAATCAACCATCGATAACTAATTTGATGATTTTGCAAGAATAAGGTCAACCCTTTGTAAGCCTTCCTCTTCATTCGAATTTCAAATGGAACGTCCTTCAAAATTCTGACTGTCTGCTCTCCAATCTTCATGATGAAGACGCTCTCAATATTTGATCCCGAATTCTCTGCTTTGTAAACTTGACCACCACTTCTGCCGGCAGATTATTCATCTTTGTAAAGTTGGAATAGGCTCTGTAGACCAGATCCATTTCCTCGCTTATTTTATCCGCTTCCCAGCCGGTGAATGATGCCAAAGCTTCCACTAAAATACTTCGGATATCTTCTTTTTCCAATTCTTTTATGCCTTGAAATCAGAGAGTCAAATTTGATTTTTCCATTTGAAGCATCAATAACTTTTTATCTTGCATTTCTTGATGTTTTCCCATTTTCTCTACCTTCTTCTTGACTTTCTGAGTGTCTTCTGCTGAGACCAGACACTTCTACGCGATTTCCTCCATTTTCTTAGCTGTATCATTCAACTGCCTTTGCTGGTTACTGAGAACACTTTCCATGCTTGTCAATGTCTGATTTATTTTTTGCATTTGCTCCAGCAGAGGATGCAAAAGCTCGCTCTCCTGTTGAGTGACACCCGGCTCCAAGGGGCGGGAGCTAGCACCGGAAGTTCCTCCCCGCTTCTTTGCCAGCTTCTCCTGAAACTTTTTCTGCCCCGACATCTTTGTTTTATTGTTTACTTTTTAAAAGTTCATGCCGCGCAGCTAACAAATGGGTTTTCCTGCCTTTCTTTCAATAATTCACCAAAAGGTAACACCACTCTTTTAAAATTTCCCTCCCCCCCTCTTCTTTCTGTTAAATCAGTCTCTGTTTAGTCGAGGGGGAGCCTCCCCCTCCTCCCTTGTGCTTTTTCTATAGGGGGGGAATGCGTTTCACTCTTTTTTCCTGTTTCCGATCGGCAACACACAGTTTTGGCCGAATATCTTCTGTTCAAATGCTTTTCCGCTTCATCACTTGGTGACGTCCGGCGGCTCTGCTAGTCCCCGTGCGGGGCACTGTCGCGGCAAGGGCCATTGGGGCTTGGGGCGAGCCTCAATTTCTGACCTTCGGGCCGGGAAAGAGGCACATCCCCTGTGCACCCCGGATCAGAACCTCTGACTGAGGTTCCTTAGGGTCTCCACTTGTGCGGATTCCTTCCTGTGGGCGAATCGCCTCCGGGAGCTTCCCGAAGTTGCGACCGCCATTCACAGAGTCCAGACCTGAAGCTCCATATATTTGCTTTGTTTTAAGTTTTAACGTACAGCTTTATTTACACTATTTACACAGACTGAATCAAAGGAAGGTATTACTTCTTGCTTTTTCTTGGCCATGGCCATTAGGATACCTTGAATGCAGCCCTGCTTTCACTTTTGTTTGCCTTTCTTCCCCCACATCTTATGAGTACTTCTAGTCATAACATAGCTTTGTTCTCCATTCCCGGATCAAAAGGTCCAAGTTTCCGTGATATCCCTCCACTTCCAGGAGCTATTGACTTTTTCTGTAGCTTTTTCAATTCTGCCTCCATTTATCTTTCTGCTGTTTTAAATAGATCCACTTCCCCAAATTCATTGCTGAGCTAGATTTGAGCTCAGGGTGACCTTGCATCACACTTGCATTCTTAATTGGGACAGCTGTTATGTTTCTGGCATCTATTTCAAGTGAACCAATATAGGCCATAGTGCACTATAGACTGTGAAATGTTTTTGTTCAAACAAGTCCTGCAGTTGATTAATATTAATATCTACAGACTTATCAGGACAATCAGTTCAAGGTGTGTCTTCAACCTATTTTAGCCTTTGTAGGATTTAGAGCAGAATCCTAAGAATGCCTTCCAGGGTGTTCTTCAAGGCCCCACTGAGCATAATTCTGAGTAGACCTGCTATTGATTGGCACTACTAATCTTACAGGAAAAGGTAAAGGTTTCCCTTGCTCAAAAGCTAGTCAGATCTGACTCTTGGGGGGTGGTGCTCATCTCCGTTTCCAAGCCGAAGAGCCAGCGCTGTCCGAAGATGTTTCCATGGTCATGTGGCCGGCATGACTAAATGTCAATGTGCATGGAACATTGTGCCTATTTATCTACTTGCAATTTCTTGCTTTCGAACTGCTAGGTTGGCAGGAGCTGGGGCCAGAGATGGGATCTAGGCGGCACTAGGGTTAGGGTTACAATATCCAGCCCACGTGTAATAGATGGAGGAAGATAGAAATGCTTCTGTTTACTCTTTTAAAAGGATATATGATCTAAACTCCATTACATGAGAAAGGATGCCCTGCAAAAAAGGAAATTTGTGGGAAGGGGAACTGAAACTGGCTAATCTCAAAACAGCATTCCATGAGATTTATCCTTGATACTAGTCAGTTTCAACTCCATTGTGAATCCTCACTTTGCAGGCAGCACACTGGTTCCGTGCAGCATGGACAGTGGAGTATTGTTGCTTATTCTAAATTATGCCACAGAGACTGTCCAATAAATTCCCATGACAGTCACTCAGTCCAGTCATCCAGACAACACTCCAGATCTCCATGATCTCCATTAGAACTGTGGGAGAGTCAGTTTTCCCCCAGCAACAATATATTACCGTATGAGAGCTAGGAAAATAAGATACATCCAAAATGAAAGGGCTTTATCAAGGTTAGACTTTAGGATTTTTTCATTCTAGAATTCCATGTGGTTGATATGGTATTACACTATATATTTTGAAAATGCATCATTACTTCAGTATTAGTATTTCCTCCTCTTTGTTCATAGGGCAGGAGTAATTATGACTGTGTGGGTTAATTTTCAGTGATGTATGCCTAGAAGCAAGGGAACCTTTACCTTTTTATGCCTAGAAGTCTATGATATTGTGATTATCTGCTTTTAGGTTGGTGTCAAAGTTACACTACAAGATCCCTTAACTAATGTTGAGAAATTGATTAGCGTGGCTTTCTCTACATATGTGGCAAGACCAGCAGATGGTGAAAAGGTAATGTTTTTCATTTGAAAACGTATATCGGCAAACATATTTAAGAAATTAATGCAAAGCTTTTGTTGTAGAATGATGCAACCAGAATGTTGAGTGGAGTGGGTCATAGGGACCATATCACCCCAGTCTTGTTTCATTTGTAATGGCTCCCAGTTTGCTTCTTGGCCCAATTCAAGGTGATGGTATTGGCATGTAAAGCTCTATACTGCTTAGGGCCAGTTTAGGGTCACCTTCTCCCATATGAACCTACCTATCTACTCCAGTAGTCTTCAGAGGCCCTGCTTTGGGTGCCCCTGCCATTTGAGGCTAGATAGGTGGCAATACGAGAAAGGGCCTTCTTGGTCATGGTGCCAAAACTTTGGAACTCACTCCTCAGGGAGATTCATAGAATCATAGAGTTGGAAGGGACCTCCAGGGTCATCTAGTCCAACCCCCTGCACAATGCAGGAGATTCACAAATACCTCCCCCTCCACACCTGCCGTGACTACTGTTCCACACCCAGAAGATGACCCCCCCCCAAAAAAACCTCCAGGATCCCTGGCCAAACTGGCCTGAAGAAAAATTGCTTCCTGACCCCAAAGTGGCAATCAGCATTTCCCTGGGGATGTAAGGGCCACAAGAACTAAGCACAGAGGCAACCCTTCCTGCCCTGCCTCTCATGATGT